TTTTTTTTTTGAATGAGAAGGCAAAGTAATTGTTCCATCTTGATTAGTCTTTTGACCTGAGAACTGATCATTAAATTATTCTTTTTGAAAAGCATTGCTTTTGGAATTTTGTACCTTGGTGTTCTGAATTTCTTTTTCATATCACAATTCAGATATGACAGTCTGCAATGAAACTCATATTTTTAGCGAGGCTGAACCCATAGTTTCTTTCTTGAAGTTGAATGTGAGAGTAATCTTTAAAACTAAGAGGTATAGTATTTGAGACTTAGTTGTATTTCACTATAACACAAGGTTGTGCTGAAATGTGATGCCTCCATTTTTCCTCCTCAAATCAAACCCATGTAACATTATGAACTAAAATGCACTATTAAATTAAACCTTCCTGCAGTTATGCATAAAATTTCATATATCTGCCCTTAGGGATTTCTCAATTACAGCCAAGAACATGGTGCAGTGTAAGGAGACAATGTCAGTGTGGAAGTAAATGGCACACAGTACAGTGGAGTCACATTATATGCACGCCTAACTTGTAGAAATTCAAATATCCCCCCCCCCAAAAGAAAAAACAAGAAAGAGCCTTGACTACCCCCAAAATAGTGTTGCTGGGGTAAGAGGAAGACTATTCATTGGAATGTCCAGGAAGAATAGTGAATGTTCAGATTTACTGTTTTCCTCTTTTATTCTTTCATTCTTCCATCTATTTTTATATAATAAAAGTAAAATTACTGTACATTTTACTTGTATTTGTACTTCTTATTATACACATTATATATGAAATTTCTTCAGAAAATGAACTCCGTTTATTTTAGGCAGCTGATGTAGGAGTGGAGAGAGGTCACACATGTGAGGTAGCATCACATAACTCATTGCCCTGTAAACCGTCACATAACTAGTCACCTAGTGTTTGATTTTGTCTCTATAGAGTAAGCTATGATGTATCCTGCAATTGATAATCCTGCCAGCTGTGAAATTTGGACTGGAAGGCATCACTTTTCAGCATGCCCTCCTGCAGTTTCTGTGTGGAGTTTTATATTTCATTTTTTTTAACAAAAGGAAATGGTCAGTTATGTTACAAATTTGTTCCAGATCTAATAAATGTGAACTTCGGATACAATCTACTGACATTCATCATATTATATAACAATCTAATTCCTATCTCATTGCAAGTTTCATTGGAAGTTGTGCGGTTTGTTCAGGTGAGGAACTCTATGATATTTGTTTCTTGGTGATTTCATATTTCATGGTATGGTGCTTGTCTGAATTTGGAATGTATGTGATATAGGAATATGAAAGAGCATAGAGATACAGCTTTCTTGCACAAAATTGAAAGGTTTTAAAAGGATTATTTTGTAGAGTTGATAGCTGAAAAAATTTTACTTCTATTTTACCTAGTGAGCCCTTTTCATCCTCTTTTCTATTTCAGCACTTAGTGCAAAAAGAGGATTTAAATGCACATTTTATATATGGGATGGTTAATGTGTAAGAAAAGACATGTAATTAGTTTAAACAAATATGTTGATGCAGGGTGTTTCATGGTGGAAAGTCGATATTTCACCAGTGTTCAAGGAAGACCATTTAAAGTCTTAAATAATAATTTTTCTTACTGTCAGTACTGAAGGAGCTACAGACACTTGAAGTTGTTAAGGTAAGGATTCCTAAATGCATTTAAAAATATTTATTTCTGAAACCAAAGTGAGTGTTAGTACAGGCAAGTGGCCACACGGTATTATATATCTCAGCTCATTCACATGCCACAAATGAAGGTATGGAGAACTTTCAACAGTCATGGATATTATCCATTTCATGTAACTCATTACTTGAATTTGGTAGCCAATGAAGTGATATTGTTTGTAGATGAAATGACAAACCATGGGGATTCCTGCTCACGGACCTTGGAGAATCCTAATTAGATAATGGATACTCATTTTTAACACTTTTTTTTTTTGTAAATATGTGGTGCTAGTTATCGGCAGTGGAATTATCAGACCATTTGTGTTTGAACACATTTTAACTGCAGAGAGGTACATAAATATCTATGAAACCACTACCAGAATGCTGGAAGGTGTGCAACTTGAGATCAGATGGAATGTTCAGTTTTAGCACCACAGCACTTTGTGCTGTATGTCAGAGGACCAGTGGTCTGAAGGCTGCTGGATCAGCCATGGAGGACCACAAGCCTCATTACTTAGGTCACCAAATATGATGTCTTTGGATCTCTGCTTATATAGGCATGTGATCATTCCATAGCTCGGGCAGATAATGGCATCTTCTCACTTTGGCAGCCTCAATTCTAAAGCAGGGCAGTCCATTTGAGATTTCTGTTGGAAAAAGTGGCACTGGGGCACATTTTTTCCAGATTACTTTTATTTTGCCCTTCCCATTATTAATACACCCGAACTTAATTACTTCATTATTTCCCTCTGGCTGGTACAGTAGGCTATTTGAGGTTGCAGTACCATGGTACTGTGTCTTATGCAACTGCAAAAATAAATATCAGTGCGAAGACATTGCACATACTTTCACATATACAATTGATCTTGACTGTGTTACCTTTGAAGCAAAGTCTGTTGCTTCATAAACCATTATTTGTTGCAGAACACTGAACAAGAATTAATCTGCCTGACTGGTAAACCCAGTTTCGACAATACTGTTGTTTCACATTTGGATCCCTAATGCATGTACCATTATTTTCCTGACAGAACATACCATCTGTGTACTTTTATTAAGGAATGTGGTCTATATAAATCACTAAAATGTAATCAAAATTGAGCCATTATAGAGAAATCTGCATTTTATATTTTGGGTCCCATCTGAAGGGCCCTTATTTTTTCACCTGGAATGTTCATATTCACCAGACACTGACCTAGGATGGATAAGCTTCTGAATGCTGAATATTAGTAGAGTTTGCCTAACCATTCAGGCGCCAAAGAGGTACAAATCTATATATAGACATGCAGGCAGATGAAGACAGACCACATACCAGAAAACACTTTTCACATTCAGCTGGGTTCAGAACTTGTAAATGCATAAAAAGCTTGAGATCGGTTTTTTCATCATAACATTACTTTCTTATATATACTGCATACATGAGAAAGTAAAATTGAATAATAAGGGGGCATATGAACAACATTGTTTATAAGATGAAATAGTAGATTGTAGCAGAGCTAATAGACTGAATATTCACTGCTGAAGTGCAGATCAGAAATGATGGTACCATTCTTCACAGAACAACTAGTGCTCTTTTAAAGAGAGCAAGAACTTGCCCGAGAGAAATCAGTGGTCACATAGACTGAGGGTGTTTGAGAACAGGGTGTTGAGGGGGATATTTTGACCAAGGAGAGATGAAGTGACAGGAGGTTGGAGAAAACCACATAATGAGGAGCTTCATAACTTGTACTCTTCTCCAAGTATAATTGGAATGGTCAAGGAGGATGAGGTGGGCAGGGAATGTGGCATGAATGGGGGCGAGGAGGAATGCATATAGGATATTGGTAGGAAAGCCGGAAGGAAGGAGACCACTGGGAAGACCAAGACATGGGTGAATAATATTAAAATGGATCTTAGAGAGATAGGATGGGATGGTATGGATTGGATTGATCTGTCTCAGGATAGAAACCAGTGGAGGGCTTTTGTGAACACTGTAATGAACCTTCAGGTTCCATAAAATGCTGAGAATTTCTTGAGTATTTGCACAATTTGCAGCTTCTCAAGAAGGGCTCAGCTCCATGAGTAAGTGAATGAGTTTGCATCTATTGTTTATAACCACCGTTTCATCTAACATTTGTTATGTTTATCTTTCAGGCCATATTTATTAATATGGATATTGACATGTATCATGAAGAAAGTGACACTCCAGCAATGGCAAGAACTTCCAATTTGAATGAAGAATTAGGACAGGTACTAGAGTATTCAAAGTACAAAGACAGTGATTTCATAGGTCAAGATTTAAACTTAAGGAAGCTTGCAGTATATTGGAAATGAAAATCAGTTGTTTTGATAGAAGTGTTTCTACACACAGAACATAACTTTTCAAGGGATAATTACAGCTAAGATTTATTTTTCCCTCATTTTTGCCTCTGGCACACAGTTTGGAAAAGAAGTTACTCCATTACCAAATTAAAAACTGAAGGTATTTTGTTTATTTTTGTACCAGTGAAGAAAAATAAGTGGTTGTGTTTTCTTCAGTTTTCTGACTTTAGGTTCAGAAAGTGATTCTCTGAATATGTCTTCCAATTACAAGTTCATGAGATGGTATATTTGTGGAATATGCTATAAGAAAGCATTTTTATTCCATTTTGCCCTGGTTACATGTTATAAAATGTTTTAAAAGTAAGTTTTAGGTTCTCATGGCAATTACTATGTGGAATAGTGTCTTTGGAGTTGTGCTGCCATGTAGTCTGGTAGATAGTTTTGGAGAAACCTTACCCAAATATAGAGGCAGCAGGTTCCACCAAAATATTGGTAGTGATCTGCCATTCTGCATGAGCTCACATTCCAGAAGACAGTTATCTTCAAATTTTAGGTATGCTGTAGCTGTTAAAAATTTAACAGATTGCTCGTTGTATGTCTGGAAAATATGTTGTACTTTTGAGAATTATTCTTTATTCTAATGTTTATTTCAATTTATGTAACAATATTTTTATATATTGTATGAAATGCTGTATTGCCATATTTACATGCATCAACTGCCATCCTCAGACAGTGGTTACATATCACTTTTATGATACTGAATGGACCCTCCATGTTTCTATGCATGCGAGGCATATCATATTTCTGTTAAATTTTATTAATTAACCTTTACCAGCCAAGGTTTGCATTATTGCAGTAGCATATGTGCAGCCCAGCTGACCAAGTATTGTGTTTTTTTCAATACTAATAGCATTATCCCTGAGTCAGGACATGGCTGCCACCCATGTATTACAGGGAGATTTGAAATCTCTCATTCACTTACAATAAACAATGAACTGTTGTTCCTGAGTTAAAATCCAGATGCCAACCCCCTAGTACCAGGAGAGTTAAAATCCCCTATACCTGAATGATAAAGGGTAATATACTTATGGTTCAGTCAGTGCATTTTTCCTTCTTTTTTTAAATAGCTGATTCCATATTTTTTTTTTCCTTGGCACTACAGCCCCAGTGGGCCTAGGCCTACCTCCATGAACTTCTCCGTTCACTTCGGCTTTTCTAGATCTTACACATTCGGTAGGACTCCTTGGGCAGGTGATCAGCTCATCGCAAGGCCTCTACCTGTACACAAACACAGAAAAACGCACACACACAAACTAAACATCCATGCCCTGAGTGGGATTCAAACCCACGATCCTGGTTTCCAAGTGAACAAAGACAGTATATGCCTTGGACCGCTCGGCTACTGTGCTGATTCCATTAGGATTGAAATATTATTGAGAATTGCAGAACAATGGATTTAATGTTTGCTGTGAAATATTACACTTTAAAAATATTCTTCTCATGATCTGTAGCTGATTTATAAGATTCATATGTCATTACATATAAGTGAGATGAATTTTACTGGAGGCTATTAGCAGACTACATCAGGACTTGAGATTCAGAAATAAATTATTTTGTAGGGGCCAGGAAACATTATTTGCAATTGGAAATGCTTTTGGTACACCATTTTATTATCAGTCTATAGATTGACATTTCCATCATTTGGCATGCTAAAATGTAAATCATTAAAACTAGTCATTTAAGTTTATTGCCCTTCAAGTACTACATGATCAGTTGCTGATGATAAACATTGTGTTTTTCAGGAGTTGAAATGATGCATTTACTTCTGCTGTCATTTTTCATGCCTTTGCAAATTACATGCTTTTCAGGTTTTAGTACAATTATTTAATTATGTGTATATAATTATATTGTGTCTGTATTGAGTGAGGGTCACATGGTAGCATAGTTGGTTGAGGCACTCTGCTACAAGCTGGAAGGTAGTGTGTTTAAGTCCCGATGAGGTCATTGGTTTTTTTTCAATTGACCTAATCCTTCTGGCCACACTATGGCCCTGGGGTCGACTCAGCCTCTAACAGAAATGAGTACCAGGAATATTCTTGGAATATTCTTGGGGGTAAAGGGCGGCCAGCACGTAGGGCTGACAACCTTGCTGCCATCTATGAGCCGATTGTGCAGAAAATGTGGGAACCTCAACATTCTCACAACCTTATGGGCCTCCATGGCCTGTTACAGAGATACCTTTACTTTTTTACTTTACTTATATTGAGTGAAAATTCATATTTAAAGTCATGTTTATGATGAGCAGTTTGGAAGTTTCTCATTTGGTGACATCAGCATTTAATAGTGTACATAATTGAACAGCATTTAGATGCGGTGGCTGTATTTACTTTACTTAGTAGATAAACAGTGCAGTTACGATGAATTCTTGTGTGTGCTGAGCTACAGACCGAGAAAGAGGGTGACTTATAAGCATATAACATGAGGACAATGAAAATTGAGAAAACACATGTAAGTGTGATTGAAGTAAGACATAGGGTCACATGTCTCGTCATATTACTGAATGGTGGGGAATTGCTACTAATACCTGGTAGTAGGATGCAGTATGTACCCACTACACTTGCAGTGCTGGGGCTCACATGCAGTATATTGTGTTTGTCAATGGCAAAATTTTGGGAAGCTTACCACCAATTGTGTTTTGGATCCCTTCTGAACATCACTGGAACAAGAAGTCCTGTTCAAAGTTTATTCCACATGTTTTACTGTTCTTTCATTTACACCAATGGTTGAAGGGGAGAATGCATTCTGTGACCAGGTTTTGACAGTGAATGAATTGTGGATGCATTCATTTGACATTAAACTGAAGTTGCAATCTCTCATCTCATTACAGAAGAAGATGAGTGAGTCAGGGTACTCTGTACGCAATACACATCATGTTCTTCCACTTCTTAGTTGGATGTTTATGCTCTACCACCCTCTGCAACCTCACCATTAATAACATATATTACAGGCACTGTTGCATGGGAGGCTGTGACCTGTGTTTGAGAAATGCTCACACATCCTTCTTCCTTGGACCTGTCATCCTGTGATCACCTTTTGTTTTCTCAGATGAAGGAACTACTGTAAATATTGTGAACCAGGCTGAACACAGACAGTTACAGCACTGTGATTGATTGTCAACTTTGGTATTGGGAGAAGTGCTTTGTCCTTGATTATGATTAGGACAGCTGCAAGTATGTTGGGACATACTTTTTCTGTTGATTTCTTGTGACTTCATTGCAGTGAGATACTAAAATCATATATGTGCAGAAAACTCTGATCTACAAAATCGCCCACATGATTGTTGCATCTCAATTTTTATCCTTTAAAATTGGTATAAATTATGATATGGTGTAACTGTGCATGTAAATATGGCATTAGAATACATTTAATCCCTTTGCGAGATTTTGTTTATTCTTTCTAATTGTCTTTTAACTTTGTTTGTAGGTGAAATATATATTTTCAGATAAAACTGGTACATTAACAAGGAATGTGATGGATTTTAAAAAATGTACAATAGCTGAGAATATTTACATGTTAGATGAGACACCGTATGACACTCAGTTAGTTAAGGTAATGTTTACTATGTGGTCTAACTGGCTGATTTTTGCATTTATTTGATACTAATATATGTAGGCAAGTCAAATGAAAAAATTAAATATTTTTTTGAGTAGTATTTATTGTGCACAAGTGGTACAAAGCTGTATCACTTTTCAACATAGTCTCTCCCACCCTCAATGCAAGTCCTCCAGCGCTTACAAAGTGCATGAATTCCTTTAGAAAAAAAATTATTTTGGTAGTCCGCGCAACCACTCATGCACCACGTGGCGTACCTCTTCATCAGAACAGAATGTCTTTCCTCCCATTGCTTCTTTGAGTGGTCCAAACATATGGAAATCACTTCAGGCAAGGTCTGGTGAGTATGCCGGATGAGGAAGACACTCAAAATGCAGGTCATTGATTGTCACAACTGTTGTACGGGCAGTATGGGGCCTTGCATTGTCAGGTTGCAAAAGGATACCTGTGGACAGCAATCCACGTCACTTTTATTTGGTTGCAGGCCAAAGATTATTTTTTAGGAGATCTGAGTATAATGCACTGGTGACAGTGGTCCCTCTAGGCATGTAGTGCTCCAAGATGACGCCTTTTTCGTCCCAAAAGAGAGTCAGCATAACCTTCCCTGCTGATGGTTGTGTTCGAAACTTCTGCAGTTTTGGAGATGAGGAATGGCGCCATTCCTTGCTTGCTCTCTTCGTATCTGGCTGGTGGTAGTGAACCCAGGTTTTGTCCCCAGTAACGGTTCTTGCAAGGAAGTCGTCATCTCATTCAAAGCGCCACAGAAGTTCTTCACAAGCATCAGTACTTTAGTCTTTCAATTCAGGAGTCAGCTGCCATGGCACCCATCTTGCAGACACTTTGTGAAACTGGAGCACATCGTGCACAATGTGGTGTGCTGAACCATGACTAATATTTGAACTTGCTACAGTTTCATTCAGTGTCACTCGGCAGTTTTCCATCACTATGGCTTCAACTGCTGCAGTGTTCTTTGGAGTCACAACTCGATGTGCCTGACCCAGATGAGGAGCATCTTCCACTGAAGTCACACCATTTGCAAACTTCCTACTCCATTCGTACACTTGCTGCTGTGACAAACATGCATCACCATACTGAAATTTCATTCTTCGATAAATTTCAATAGGTTTCACACCTTCACTACACAAAAACCGAATAACAGAATGTTGTTCTTCCCTGGTGCAAGTCTCAAGTGGAGCAGCCATCTTATACTGGTGCTGTAACGGTGTTTGTGCATCTGCACTATGCTGCAACCTACAGGCCATTCTGCATGCTGTTTGTAGCACACTTACCAACTTACAGGATAATGGAGCGAAATTTCAATTTTTTAATAGAAATTTAAGGTTTTCATTTGACTCACCCTCATAGTAATCTCTGAGTTGAGTAAGGCCTCCAGCCCTATAGTACCATAAGATTTAAAAGCCTATATTTTCATGCCGTAAATTATTACTTGTGAGTTTGAATCCAGTAAAAATGGTGCTTTACCAGGATATTTAAAATCCACTATTCCAAGATGAAAAAAGTTAATACTTATTTAATACTTATTTTGATACTAGCTTGCTTTCTATAATTGTATTAATATGTTTCAATGCATCTAAACTTATTACTGCTTAAACACACGCTGTTTAAAGTAGCTCCTCAATTATCATCATGAGGCTGAGTGGACTCTGTTCCAGACCCACTACTTCTCAGAAAAAATCTGGTAGTGCCGGGAATTGAACCTGGACCAGTTCCTGTTGTTTGCTTCTCTTTCTGCCTTTTCTCATTATGAAGAAAGAATATTACATTCTCTTGCTGCAGTATGAATGAAGTCTGTATTCAGCCATAGTATAATGCTTTTTCTCTACTTTGTGTGAGTGGGTGTATATGTTAAAGGGAAATATATTCTTTAAGGCAGTGGCTTCCAAACTATTTTAGTCTGAACTTCCCCCCCCCAAAAAAAATCATACTGAAAATGGCATAAAATGTGATTTAGTAACTTAGAAATTGATTTACTTGTGAACATTTAGTGTAATTATAGAAAAGAAGTTTCAATAGAACCAGCTAATCTTGATATGTTGTGTTACAATCTGTTTCACAGAATCTCCAATCAGGTCATCCCACAGCACCATATATTAGAGAGTTCCTCATCCTTATGTCTGTGTGCCACACAGTGATTCCTGAAAAAGCATACAGTAGGGAGATCCAGTACCATGCTGCTTCTCCAGGTAAGAAGCTGCTGAGAGCTGGAATATTCATTGTGATGTGTTCATTTATTTGTGGTTTATTTAATAGTACCTATATAGTGTCAGATGGTAAACATTTAGTATTTGTGAACTTCAGCAGAAGGGAAGTTAAAAGCTTGGAGAGCTAAATGTGAGTATCATTGGTGTTTTTAACTTGTAATGAAAAAATGTTGGCTTTGTTAGATGATTGGTGTTTAAGTATAGCTTCTCAATGCAAGTGAATCCTTCTGTGATTACATTGTACATAAAATTAACTTAAATTTTGATCTGTTGTTCTTAAAATAATGTAAAATCAGTTTTAATATTTGGTATTTACTTTTTATGTGCATATTTTACCTGCATATTTTGGAAGTTTTTCATGCATACATATTTAATAGATTATTAAGGCATAAAAGTCTGGTTCCTGCTTATAAAAACAAGTCAGAGAGGTTGTGCTTGAGGAATATTAATTTTTTTTTGCAGTCATTCCCCAAATGCCATGGAAACAATTAAAATACTATTGAAATGGATTCCTCCCTTCAGAAACCTGTAGATTGGCATAGCAGCCTTAAGCTCTTTAGGAAGTGTGTTACTGTATTAGATGCCACATATGAAATAATAGAAGTGTGGAATATGGTATAAAGACAATTCCCATTAGAGAAGGTGTGAAGAAAGATGTTCCCCAGATGATTATCTGAACAAATATTTGCATTCTAATTAAACAGTTTCCATGGTTGAGTTAGCCACCATCTTTAAGATGCCATAAGCAGATCACGAGAACAAGTTTTCAGATTTTAATAAGAAATCATTTTCATGGCAGATTTTAAGCATACATATGGTTGTGTCATGTTAACACAGAACAGCGAAGAGTGGTTTGAAGTCAAATATGCAATTCCAGGCTATGAGATACTGATCCACAAAGCCAGACAATAGAATCAGCTTTAGTCCCTAAAAAAAGTTTAACCATTCAGCTGATTCTGAACTGGACTGAATGTTTATTCAGTTATATTTAATGAAAAAAAAAATTGACTTGTTAAGGTCACTTTTTTATGTTGAAATGAGAAGTCTAACTCATAGAATTTATGAACCACTGAAACTAGGTTTGTGAAATTTGATATGCAGATAAATAATAAATTCATCTACGGATTTTGTATGAAACATTATTCCTGTCTTAAGAATTATAAACATGGTAACAATTAAACCTTTGAGGGTTTGACAGACAGCTATCAGATTGTAGTAATCTGTGCTGCTGTAAAGTGTGCATACAAATTGGTCACTAATCTATATACTTTCAAATTTATAATTTCTGCTAGCCTTTGTACACAGGTAAAAAAATTTAAAGAAAAGTATGCTTCCTAGTGAACTGTTTTGGGGACAGGCCTTGCTTTAAACATAAAAATATATTGAACATAATCATTACCAGCAAGAATGTCATGGACTGGGTCAAATTGATACATTCCATTTGCCTGTGTAAGAAACACAAGCCTTTCATGCAAATATAAATTCTGTCTCCATCTTTATTCCTGTTGCTCCCATTTGGTGCATAGGGCATCCTTGAGACTTTTTGTTTCACTTAGTTTCTCAGTCTTAGACAGTCAGTAGGCCTCCTTGGATGGGGGTCAGCCCATTGCAAGGCCACTACCTACACAGGACCACATGAAAACAGTATAAATGCAGACAAATATGCATGCCTTGAGTGGGATTTGAACCCATGATCCAGTATTTGAGTAAGTGAAGACATTTCATGCCTTAGACTGGGTCTCCACTGTAATCAGCAAATGTAAATTATTATACTGCAAATTAAGTTAAGAGTTAGTTGTGAGTTTCATTTGACACATAAAGACCAAACTGTGAACTGCATTTTGAAGAAAATATGGGAGAGTTATGTGATGACTTTTTCATTATTAAGCTTTATCATCCTTGCTGTGGTGACACATTTCAATGACATTTTAAGCTTAGTACTAAACACTTCCATTGCTTTTCCAAACAGATGAGCAAGCATTAGTGAAAGGTGCCTGCAGTTTTGGTTATGTGTTCGACACGCGGACGCCTCATCATGTCGAAATTGAAGCACTTGGGACCCGTGAGCGCTATGAGATATTAAATGTTCTTGAGTTTACAAGTACACGCAAGAGAATGTCAGTTATTGTTCGCAATCCTTCCGGCCAGATAAAACTTTACTGTAAAGGTGCTGATACAGTTATATATGAGAGGTATGTTCAACATGTCAGCATCTGTCTTAATATAACAGTAGTTTGTAGATCTCTATGTAAAATACTGATTTCTTTTTCGCTTCTGTCTGGCAGTGTAACCATAATGTTTAACCTGTAATAGTTCGGGATAAGTAACAGTAATATCATAATATCAATAAAGATTTGGCACACGCAGACAAGCACTATATATTGTCACGTTTTTAGCTTACTTTCCTTATTTTGAAGAAACAGAAATAGGCAAATGAGATCACCTTGCTGTCTGTGCATGTGTGTGTCTGTATGTGTATCCTTCCCTATTAACTTTTGAATTGCTGAACCAGTCTTTATGAAACTTGGTATGCGTATCAAGGCACTTGAGCCCATTTCAGGAGTGTACATCATAAATCTCCTATCAGTAATACCAACATTGCAGCCTCTCAAATTTCTGAGACAAAACCTTGATTTTGCATCAATTCCTGTACCAATCTTCATGAAAGTTGGTATGTGTATATCATGCCACCTGAGACCATCTCAGTGGCATGCATCATAAATCCTTCTCATAAGTAATATCAACACTATAGCCTCTCAAATTGTTGATGTAATACCCTTAATATTATGTAAATATCTGAACCAGTCATCTTGAGGCTTGGTGTGTATATCATGCCTCTTGAGGCCATGTCAACGGCATACATGATAAATTCCCCTTATCAGTAATACCAACACTACAGCCTCTCAAGTTATTGAGGTAATACCCATAATATTACTTGAATTCCTGAATCAATCCTCATGAAACGTGGTATCCCTGCATCGTGCCATCTGAGGTTATCTCAACGCCCTACATCATAAATCTTTTCCATTAGTAGTGCAGCCTCTAAGATTGTCAAGGTAATGACCTTAATATTACCTGAATGCCTGAATGAGTCTTCTTGAAACTTTGTATGTGTATCATCTAAGCTCATTTCAATGTTGTACTTAATAAGTCCCACCCATCAGTAATACCAACACTGAAGCTTTCCAAATTGTACTGTTTTATTGACTTCATTACTCATACCTACTAAAGTTTTTTTTCTGCTGATAGGATCAGACACTCAAATTACAGTGAAAGGAGAGCAGGCAGTTAGTTCTTTCCAGATCTCTTTGCTTTATTTCATAAAAATTTTTGACTATAGTGTCATCGTCAGACTGATTAATATATCGAATATTTACATTGTCTGCTGACTGTTACATGTTGGTACAATTGATATTATTAGTCCAGGAGGGTTCCCTTCTGGTATATTTCAGTCACTTAGTATTGGTACTATTAGTGCTTTTAGTAAGAGAATAATGCTCTGTACATGGAGTTTGTTTATGTGACTGTAACAAGTCTTACAATACAATAAGGATACAAAAACACCAAATTTGTGAAAAGGTATGTTGTGCGTTCAACTTCTAAGGTCTCCGATTTTTTTTTTTCTTACACAATAACCATACAAACAATTTGAAACTTCTGTCACTTTTCAACGTAATCTCCCTGCAGCCATACACATTTTTCACAACCTCGACACCTTGATTCCATGGCCGCTATGAACGCTTCTGTAGAAGTCTGTTTTGACCACTGGAAAATCGCGCTTTGTTTCAGGATTGAAAAACGGTATCCATGTCTCATCCATTGTCACAATTGATGAAAACAAAGTCCCATTCATGCCTTCATCACGTGTCAACATCGCCTGGCAAATTGCCATGCACAGCCTTGTGGTTGTCCACCAGCATTTGTGGCACCCATCTGGAGGACATTCGCAGGTCTTCATGCAGGATTGTGTGCACAGATCCCACGAAAATGCCAACTTTGGAGGCAATGTTTTCCACACTCAATCGGCGATCCTCCAAAACAACTTTCTCAACTCGGTCGAACATGTTGTCAGACCGGCTGGTGCGAGGCCGAGATTGTTTTGGTTCGTTGTCACACGACATTCGGCCTTCTTTGAACTGCCACACCCACAAACGTACATTTTTCACATTCATGAGACCATCACCACACGTCTCACTCAACTGGCGATGAATTTCAATGGGTGTCATGCCACGCAAGTGGAGAAAACGAATGATTACTCGCTGTTATTGTAATGAAAACGTCGCCGTTTTAAGTATCAAAAACACTGCTCACTCGCTGCCACCACTAGAGTTCTGTGTGCTGTACAGTGCTGCCATCTCTGTCACGCATTCACAAAGAGTGCATACATATTTTAAACTAAACCGCATGTGTCTATCTGCTCCCAGTCCTGAGAAAAAAAATCGGAGACCTTAGAACTTGAACGCCCCTCGTAATACACTGGACTTCATATTTGAATAATACAGTATCTTAGTCAGTTGTACAAGTTTATAACTCATTTTTATTCATGATGGATTTATTTGTAGTTTATAAAATCTTGTAAATCAAGCTTTCATTTTTCTCCCACCATTCACATATTGTATTCAAGGTAACCAACAAATTAACTTCATGTTATAAGCAATTTTCCAGCTGTAGGTAGTTATTCTGTTTTGTGCTTCTGCCACTTTGTTTAATGAATTCCATTACATCACACTGCCTACCAGTTTGAGATGTTAGCAAGTTAGAAAGAAGATGCAAAGATTAAACCTTTAATTGTATGACATTACGAGTACACTGTGCTGCTGCTGCCACTGCAACAACCACTGCCACCACCGCCACCGCCTCTGCCACCCCCGCCACCGCCTCTGCCACCACCAGCGCCGCCACCACCAACTCCACTAATTCTTTTTTTGTGAATTTTCCATATACCCAGCATCTTCTGAATGTGCATCAGGTCATAGAGGAGTTTAATATCATTCAGCTGCATGAATCCTGCATATTCTCCTGATGTAATAGTTCTCAACTATTTCTTGCTATTCTCCAACTCAAGAACCATGTCACTAGATGTTGCTGTAACTTTGCTGGACAGCACTCAAAGGGACATCAGAATTTGTGTTTTGGGGGGGGGGTGAGGAGATCATTGTAGCAGCACTTTTAGAAGTCTGCAGATTTAGGAGGACAGGACAATACTTGGAACAGATGAAGCCCTGAAGACAAACGGTTCTTTTTTTTTTCCTATTTTATATCACTTACTTTTTTATTTTGTAGGTCCAGGTACTTCTGGGTTTGATGTCTACCTGATATTTCTCACAAACATTGTCTCTGTGTTTCTAATTTTCAATGCACAAAAAATGTTTTCTACAAAATTTGTAGTTTTGTTTAATCTGTCATCATACCAAATTACATGTGCCTTGCCACAGTTATTCATAAAGTGGTACAATCATGAGAATAAATTAGTATGAATTTAATGTGCTTACTATATGAGTGGGGTTGCTTTATGTTCTTCATGAAAATGATTGTTGCTATAAACAGGGGACAGTACAGATTTCAATGGTTGCTATATTGTTATTTTATATGCCACATAATAAATTCTGTAACAGTATTTGATAATTTTTTAAAGACATAACAATACACGTTTTCAATATCCTATATGTAGTGCACTTGTTTTGGTAATGACTAAAGTTTACATATGTAAGATCACATGCTTTATCTTCATAGTTTTCACAGGGACATATAATACCTGTTGTATCAAATTTTTATATTTTTCTTAGGATTGCTGGATTTCTGAACTTTGTTAATCATTTGATGTTCTGTAACAGATCACTACATTTCAGAGATTGATCTGTTTCTGTCCTCCAGTGAAAAGTTAATATGGCACCTTCTCACATTTCTAGTCATTGGACAAGTCCACAAGGACGAACTGATTTGACTCACTGTATGTCCAGTTTGTAACAGACCCAGCTGAGTAGGTTCCTTTACACTTTTTCACTTGAGGACAGAATCAGATCAAGTTTCAGAAATGTATTTTGGTACATAATGCCAAACAGTGGACAAACCCCAGAAACTTAGTAGTCTTAAAATACCACCATCAGGGTCCTTTAGAATTAATACGATTTTACTACAACAGAATATGTATGGTTGTATTTTTAAAAATTCAGACTTGCTCCAGAAGGACAGCAGTTTAGAGAAGGGACATTGAGGCATTTGGAAAGCTTTGCAACAGAAGGCCTTCGGACACTTTGCTGTGCAGTTGCAGATGTTTCTGAAGATGCATATGAGGTATGTTACAATGAATTTCTGGTCAGATGTGTAAAGTGTGTTCTAATATATTATGTAAAGGTAAAACTGCTTCAATGCCCAATCATCTTGCCAAGCAGATATAGAGGGAGTGTTGAGGTATTATTGCACATTGCTTAAAGAATTTTGGAGTAGCGATGATATTCTCCACAGCCCTGACTGGAATTCACTCACGGTCACTCATGCTGATTCTGGTCAGTTGTAAGATATAAGGCCTGGTCAGAAATTGTTGACACATGTATAAGAAGTTAATTCACTTCAAAGTAGGCTCAGTCATGACATACTCGTACACACTTCTCCTGTTTCTATCAGTTTTGAAATAACATCTGCATAAGAAAACATATTCACACACACTTTATATGTATTTTGTCTTTTCACTCTTATCATACAGAATTTACGTTTTATTATGGACATGCAGATATTGTGGTTATCTTTTTATTTTAGTGTCATCAGTAACATCTTTAGTCAATTATTTTCATCATCATTCTTTCAAGTATTTGCCTGTTGAGATCTTATGGATATTAAAACACAATCTTTCTATTGTTTAAGGGGTCTTCCCAAATTTTTTTACCTGCTGGTTAATAAGTTGAGAAGGTTCTTTTCCCTTAGACTTTATAATCTAGGCCTCTATAATAGCTGTTCAATTTGATTGTATTGTCTAGCTCCAATAGTATCTTAGCCAGACTGAACATAGCTGGTAATAGTTTTGAGCACTGATAGACATCAGTTCCATGCAACTCTTTAGATAAGAAGCTTTGTCTGTGTATGTGAGCATATTGCATACATAATTCCTTCTAGCTTCTAAAACCTTAAAGGATTCCAGTACAAGGCAATATCACTTCTCTCGAATGTTAACCTTGCAGTGTAATCGCTGATTCTGCAGCAGTAACTTTCATCATTAGAAAGTAGATCATATGGAGTATAAGTTTAAATTTGCTGTTAGCAGATCTGTGATCTGTCTTCTCATTGTCAGTGAAATTCTACCCCTCCCTCCAAAAAAAAATAAAAAACAGATTTAAGAATCTCTCTTTATTCATGAGTTCATAATAGCATGATGGTACCAAGAATCTGCTCCTTAAAAAATAACTGGCTGATTTCAGTTTCTGCATGATTCCTTGCAGCAACAGACTTAAAAATGTGTTTTGTTTTATCTTTGTTCTTTCTGTTCTGGATATAGATTCATGTACTGGATAATGGTTACAGATTTTATCACCCATAAAATTTCTTTCAGACGCCATTTCTGCCCCATGTTTCTGTTTGAATCTAAATTGCATTTAGCAGGATGCCTCTCTCTTTCAGTTTCTTGAACCTCAATTAGTATTTCTGTTGTTACCTTCACAGTCACAGAATTACTATTTTCATATGCCTATTATGATGTTCACAGTTTCATTTATTCTTATTCATTCATATTTATTAGCATTCTGTTAATCCATACAAGGTCAACTTATAACCTGTTGGATATAGAACCTGTCATAGTAAAGTACGAGTAAAATATAAAATCAGTAATGTCATACAATCATAATAGATTCCTGAATAAAAATCAAATTCTTAAATATAAATGCACATGTGTCATTACAAAACAATAAATGTAACAATAATACAAGTTTACTAGCATATACAATAAAAGTCCTCCCACAGTTAATCAGAGTATTCAAAATAGAAAGTTTCATTGAGAAGTTGTTTGATAATATTCATCAATACTATGGAATGCATGTTCTGTAAGATAAGTTCTTAATAAGGATTTGAAATGCTTAATATCTGTAGATTGCATTTTAATATATAATGATAAATGGTTATAAATCTTACTTCCAGAGAAAAGTACTCCCTTCTGTACTAATGTTAAATTTGTGGATCGCAAATGTAAATTATAGTTGTAACATGTATTAATATGATGAATATCAAAATTAGATGTAAAGTAACTTTTATCCTTGATGACAAACACAAGAAGTGAGAAAATATACTGAGACTGAAGTGGCAATATTTGCAGTTTTTTGAACAGTTCCCGGCACAAATCATATCTACCTGAACTGGTAATGACTCTTATAATTCTTTTTTGAATTTTAAAGATGCTCTCATTGAGATGGGAATTACCCCAGAAAATAATACCATAAGACAAAATAGAGTGTACATAGGAGTAGATCATCTTCATTGAGTCCAATGACATAAACGGCTTTGTAGCCCTTATTGCATAACAGGCCTTATTTAATCATAATGATAATTTAGTGATATGGTCCTTCCATGATAAAGCACTGTCAATGTTTACTCCCAAAAATTTAGTACAATTGATACTAGTAATTACTGAGTTAGTAGATATTATTTGCATTTTTATTTCTTTACGTTTTTTAATAATAATTGTAAAAGATGTGATTTTTCACAATTTAGTGTTAAAATTATTATTCAACCAAGTAGTTATTTCATTTAGGACTAAACTAATGTTACTTTTGAATTCATCAGGATTGGTGTTAGATATAATAATACTAGTATCATCTGCTACTAATATAGAGTTAGCTATTTTGTTTACAGATAGTGGAGAATCATTTATATAAATGAGGAACAACAAAGTGCTTAAAATAGAGCCCTGTGGTACTCCATGTTTGACAAGCTTCCACTTGGAGGATATTTTATTATGATTATTATCTTTCATTGATAGCCTCTGATATCTATTTTCCAACTATTACTTCATTAGTTTAATTTCTATTCCCAAGATTCCATATAATTCCATCTTAGCCAGGAGTATGTTATGATTGACACAATTGAAGGCCTTTTGTAAATCACAAAATAGTCCTCCTACATAATTTTTATTATCTAAGGATGACAATATTTTGTTTAAAAGAGTAAATGTTGCCATTTCGGTTGATGATTTTTCTCTGAAACCAAACTGTTCCATTACCAATATATTATTTTTATTTAAATGAGAATACAATCTTTTGTAAATGATTTTTTCAATAATTTTGGAAAATGTAGGGAGAAGCAAAATAGGCCTGTAGTTATGAAGTTTGGGTCTATTTCCTTTCTTATATAAAGGCTTCATTTCTGAATATTTTAATCTATTAGGAAATATACCTATTTGTAGGATCTTGTTAAATATGTATGTTAAAGGTGACTAGATATAAGGAGTACCAACTTTAAAAATTTTAGATGATATTTCATCGTAGCCATGTGAATTCTTGGGTTTCAAGGAATATATTATTTTTTCGTTTTCATAAGTATTAGTATTTCTAAATTTCACTGTTGAAAAAGATTGTATAAAATTTTGACATAAGAAAGATAAGGAATCTTTATAATTAATAGAAGTTTTCGAAGACAAATTTCTGGTAAGTAAATTTTTGGCTATGGATGAGAAATAGGAATTAAAAGCATTTGCAGTAACTGGTGGATTACTGGATAATTTATCTTTTATATTCATAGTAGATATATTATTAGTAGGACCTCAATTATTAGTAATAGTTTTAACTATGTTCCAAGTAGTTTTTATTTTATTGTTAGATTTTATTAGAAGCTTATTATAATAAAGTTTTTTTGCAGTCATAATGACCCTAGTAAGAATTCAACAGTATTTCTTAGAATATTCCTTTGTATTTGGATCATTACTATTTCTATAAGTTAAATAAAGTTTTCTTTTACTAGCACATGAAATTTTAATACCTGTAGTTAGCCAAGGTTTTTGTACCAAAAAGACTTCAGCTTCACTGATCCAAACTAAGTTTGCTATAACCTATAATTCATCAGTTTGTTCCACCATTTCATACATACTTGATACTAAACCTTTTATTGTCATATTACAGCTAAAAATCTATATTGAAGCAAACAGAACCCAAAGTGGAGCCAGAAATGTAGTTGGAGTAGGATCAGTATTAGGTAGGAACCGCTCTTAATTCCTGTCAACTTGTCTTCCAATCCTTGTAGCTATTTGAGATCATCCTGATTAAGCAAAGTGATAAAAGTGAAAATAAACACAATAAGGTTGATCCACATACATTCATAGTCAGCCTCTGTAGCAGCAAGTACTAATCGTTACATGGTTTCTGCTTGTACAGCAAATAAAGTAACATGAAAATGTACTTGAAAAGTAAAACAGAAGTAAAATATTTGTGGGTAGAATCACAGGAAATTGGCTTATTAATTGAAGTAATCAGGAGCATACCACAGAAGTGAGTGCAACAGAGAAGTCCAAACCAAGTTTACTACCAACTCTCACTTTCAGGACTCCAAACCCATGCCTTGATCAACTGCCCCAGTCAACTCTGATGTTCCTTTACTCACACCCACTGCAGATGCACAGCTCAAAGCCAATGGCAGAGGGAAGGCGAAGAAAAGGAAATTTATGAATTGGAAGATTGGGGGGAGAGGAACAGGGTGTCTAAGCCACACTGACACTTGCCCTGACTCAAAACAGGTTAATGATTGGCTGAGGCTTACTGAAGAAGCTATATTATTATGTTACTAACCCAGGATACTGTAACGTGGATGGCCCAAGCATTGCTAGGTAATGGACAGATAAGCCCACAATACACGCACGCAACAATGGAACAACACACTCCTGTGCAACAGCTGCCGCAGGCACAGTGACATCACATTCCAACATTACTAGGAAACACATGACTTCTTTTCTGTGTTGTCTGTGCAGTGCCTATATAAGAAAGACCTGTTTACGCTTCAGTCAGTGGCGAGTCCAGGAGTGTTCAGCAATTGAAAGTATAAGGATAAGAATGGAGCATGAATTCTGAAGATTAAATTCAGATTAGAACAGAAAAGTACAGAGTGAATGAAAACAAGAAGACTTAATAGTGATTTGAAGTGATGGTCTCTGTATTGAGATCCCTTGCTCGTTGCTAGGAGATGACTAGTGGAAAGAGAGAATGCTAGTGCATGTGCAGCGGTGAACTGTAAATTGTGAAAATCAGTGATAGCACTGCATTGCCTGTATTAAATGTCATTAAGAGAGATTGTAACCCAAGTGCCAATAAATCCACACTAGAACCCATCATTTCATCATACGTGCCACCCTACATGTGACAGTACAAAATATAACCCCAGCATGTGTTTGTCTTCCCCATTATGTGAGTGATAAGAGTGGAAGCTAAGTCACCAGTCCCTTGTAACAGATTAAGTCATGATCTTATTTATGTTCCAGGAGTGGAACAGGACATACTACAAGGCTAGTACAGCTTTACAGTACCGGGAAAGAAAACTGGATGATGCTGCAAATCTTATAGAAAATAACTTGATTCTTTTGGGAGCAACTGCCATTGAAGACAGACTTCAGGACCAGGTATCACATTTAAAATATCAAAGGCTGGTTGGCTATAGTGATGGTAAATTTAGTAGTAATAGCAGTAGCAGTCTCAGTAGCAATGATTATGATAACAATAGCACCATCACCCTGACCACCATCTTTACCATCATTACTGCAACAGATGTTAACATTGTGACCACTGCTATGACAATATTTGTGTGAATTTAATACAAAATAAAAATGAGTTTAGAATTTGGATACCTTATACTTGCAATGAAACCTCACACACATGCAGTATGCACTACAGGTTGTAGTCATATTTAAACAATTATTTACTTACTTCTTTTTTATTGCTAGTGAGGTGGGACTAAGTCCCTTGTACTGCGGCCACTTCTGGCCTATTGTACCAGCCCCAGATGATGTGAGCGAGATTGTGGAGCAATAGGTGGAATGAGGATTGGCAGGGGAAACCGAAGTACTTGGAGAAAACCTGCCCCAGTGCCACTTTGTCTACCACAAATCCCACTTGACCAGACCCGGGATTGAACCCAGGCTGCCGCAGTGGGAAGCCAGTGACTAACCGCTTGAGCTATTTACTTCCTTACTCATGGAGCTGAGCCCTTCTGGAGGAGCCGCCAATTCTGCAGCTACTCAAGAATTTCCCAGCATTTTATGGAACCAAAAGGTTCATTACCATGTTCACAAAAGCCCTCTACTGGTCCCTATCCTGAGCCAGATCAATCCAATCCATGCCATCCCATCCTATCTCTCTAAGATCCATTTTCATATTGTCCACCCACCTATGCCTTGGTCTTCCCAGTGGTATATTTCCTTCTGACTTCCCACAAATATCCTATTTGCATTTCTCGTCTCCCCCATTCGTGCTACATACCCTGCCCACCTCATCCTCCATGACATGATCATTCTAATTATACTTGGAGAAGAGTACAAGTTATGAAGCTCCTCGTTAAGCAGTTTTTACCAACCGCCTGTCACTGCATCCCTCTTTGGTCCAAATATTCTCCTCAACACCCTGTTCTCAAACACCCTCAGTCTATGTTCCTCCCGTAGTGTAAGAGACCAAGTTTCACACCCATACAGAACCACAGGCAAAATTATGGTTTTGTATATTCTAATTTTTATGTTTTTAGACAGCAGATGAGAGGATAAAAGATTCTGAGCAGAATGGTAACAAGCATTACCCAAGTTCAATCTCCTCTTAATTTCCTCCTGAATCAGGTTTTGATCTGTTATTGTTGTTCCCAAATATCTGAATTGTGCCACATTTTCAAAACATCTGATTCCTATCTTTATATTATGATTTTGCTCTGCATTTTGGTGATGAGACAGCTACATATACTTAATTTTCTCTGTGTTTACTTCTAGACCAACGTCTTTACTTGCGTCAATTAAAGTTTGTGTGTTTTTCTTTATGGTATGTACATTATCACCCAGTAGATTCACATAATCATCATAGGCCAACAGCTGATGTGTCCCATTTAATTTCAGTCCCACCTGGTTGCCCTGGACCTTCCTAATGGCATATTCTAAAGCAAAATTTAAAAGGAGTGGCAATAAAGCATCTCCTCTTTTTTTAACCATTCTGGATAGGAATCACGGCATGGCATGACCTGAGGTTGTGGATGGAGGAGACACCCTCCAGTTTTGGAGGGAAGCTGTGAATATATTGCATAAGCAGTCGCAGACAGCCGACAAGGGGTGGCCCTCCAGCTTAAGGTTGGGCGTGGGGCTAACAACTCCTCACCGTAAAAAATAAGTGTGTTACAAAAATGAACCCAAAGCCTCGGACCTGGACGGATTCCTTGGATAAACGACCTAAGCTAAAGAAAATGGATATGAGATTTGGCATTTGGAATGATCGAATTTTGTAGAGGACAGGTTCGCTCAGGGCAGTGGCAGAATAAATCTTAAAATATAAGTTAGATTTAGCGAGAGTGCAGGAGGTCAGATGGGATAAAGGTGGCATCGCACCAGCAGGAGACTATACATTTTTCTATGGAAAGGGAAATCAAAATCATGAATTAGGTACAGGTTTTTCCGTACATGAGAGAATCGTATCAGCAGTTAAGAGGGTAGAATTCGTTAGTGATAGGATATCATATACGAGGGGGGACCCAAAAATAACCGGAACCAACCTGTTGCGCACGCATGCTTTGTAGTTACGAGTTGTGCTGCTAGGTGGTGTTAGCTGGGGGTCTCCCGCGACTGTTAGTGAGCTGGCGTCAATCTGAGTTAAGTGGTTTGTGTGTGGTGCTCTGTTGTGTGCGTTCCTGTTTCAACCCTTTGGCGATTAGTGAGATGGCCGACCAGAAGGAACAAAGAGTGTGCATGAAATTTTGCTTTCTGTTAGGGAAAACTGCAGCCGAGACTGTTGGGATGCTTCGGCAAGCCTTTAATGATGATGCTTTGGGGTGATGCTTGGTTTTCCCGTTTCAAATCTGGCAACATGTCAACAGAAGACATGCCACGCCCCGGGCGTCCTTTGACAGGAAGAAATGACGAAAACATTGCCCAAATCAAACGTGCAATTGATGAAGATCGTCGAAAGACCATTGACCAACTTTCTGAGGAAACGAACATCTCATGGAGCACGGTTCAGCGAATTTTAACTGAAGGTTTGCACGTGAGACAGGTGTCTGCAAAATTTGTTCCTCACTTGCTCGGAGATGACCAAAGAGAAAACTGCGTGAATGTTTGCAGCGACTTGAAGAGTGAAGTGCAGAACGATCCAGAATTTCTTAAAAGAATTGTGACTGGTGATGAGTCTTGGTGCTACGGGTACGATCCAGAATCAAAGCAATCATCAAGCCAGTGGAAGACTCCAACTTCACCATGACCGAAGAAAGCGCGTCAAGTGCGATCCAATGTGAAAACAATGTTGATTTGTTTTTTTGATGTGAATGGCATTGTCCACAAAGAGTTCATTCCACCAGGACAAACAGTGAACCAACATTTTTACCTGGATGTGTTACGAAGATTACGAGAGAGTGTGCGACGAAAACGGTCCGAAATGTGGAGAAATGGGAACTGGTTGCTTCACCACGACAATGCTCCAGCCCACACAGCTTTGACGGTCCGACAGTTTTTGACAAGCAACAACATGGTGATTGTGCCTCATCCACCTTACTCACCCGACCTGGCTCCGTCGAACTTTTTTTGTTTCCACGGATGAAGAGAAGTCTGAAAGGAAAGCGATTCCGTGATGTGGATGAAGTCAAAGAAAACACGCTAAAGGCTTTGAACAGTATCCAGCCTCAAGAATTCCAGCACTGTTTTGAGCAGTGGCAAAAGCGTTGGGACAAGTGCATTAATGCACATGGACAATACTTTGAAGGGGACTAATATACAGTTCAATAAAAATGCAAAAATAAAAAATAACAAAAATAAATTCCGGTTATTTTTGGTTCCCCCCTCGTATAATACTAAAAGGTCGCTGGTGTGATATCATTATTATGAGTGTTTACGCCCTAACAGAAGATAAAATTGATGACATAAAGGATAGATTCTATGAAGAACTAGAACATGTATTTGATAAATTCCCAGAGTACCCTATGACCCTGTTTACTTGGACATCTCCTGATGGGAAGATACACAATCAAATAGACCACATTTTGATAGACAGGAGATGGTACTCAAGTATACTTGATGTCTGATCATTCAGGGCAGCAGATTGTGATACTGACCACTACCTGGTGATAAAACTGACTGTAGTACTTATCGAGGGATATCACTGCTATCAACTTCATATTTAAATAATGGCATTTGAAAATTTAGAATGCACATACTTGTATGTAAATATGTATTGTTAACCCTATTAAACCTGAAATTAGTCTAGGTATTATTTAGCAGTTAAATTCCTACCTCACATCTACCCATTATAGAGAGAAATCACTTAATTTTTATTGGGCAAATAGTTACTTTTTATATGAGAACTATAAAAACCCCATTAGTACACTTCATTAGATAATTCATAACATTTTAACTAGGTGTGCTGCAAGACAATACAAACTAATCTGCCACTTATGACATCATTCTACCATCTTAAATCTACTCTAGTGTCCTGTAGTGTAGGAATATGAACTTAGAAATAACACACCTGCTGTATCATTAGAGAACTACATGTTTGTTCACATTTAGATTTTAAAATAAACTAACTGGTGATATTTAGATGGAGATGATTAAAGGATGCAAAACAACTTAAAAAAAGGAACAAACAGATATTTCATTTTATTTTTGAGACAGGATTCTGAAATGCTGGTAGTTGTAAAAGAGATAGTTGATGAAAAACATATTTCCAACATGTCAGATAATTAAAGTAAATATTATGTAGGTAACAAGAAGATGTGTAATGGTGATGTATATGACTTCATTCCTTAGTGATAAAGGAATACCTGAGATATGATGTTCTTACAGTGGTGACTATTAAGATTAGCCATCTTTAGAAATGTGACGTTGTGTAATATGGTAGACAGTTATTAACATCTCAGAGCAAACCTGCTGTCTCCGTCTTCAGGATAGAAAAAGTAAATGGTTTATTAACAGAACATTCACAGATATCACGTGGGGTATCACAGAAACTATATGATCAACAAAATGCTCATACTAATCTTCTGACAGGCCACCTTATTTTAATCAAATTGAACTCTCCATAATGGGTAAAGAAAATATATATATATATATATACACAGGGTGTCCCAGGAGGAATGGACCAAACTTCGGGAGGGTGTTCCTTATGTTAAAGTATGCCGATATAACCCAAAACACCTATGTCCAAAGTTGAACGGTTACGGAGATAATGGCCCGAGAAAAGTGTGGTCTTCT